GTTTGAAGTCTCTATCAACCGGATTCTGTTAGAGTAGTAAAATTTATAAACGAAATGTTAAATTTTCTATGCTCAGAAAAATGAAACCAGTATATAAAAATTATTGTAAAAACTCACTTGAAAATGTTATACAAATATTGATAAAGATCGTTGTTATATTATGTATAAATGCATGTATACACTCAGATTTACACTAAAGCAATAGATTTACCCTGAAGAGACATAAAAAAGGAGTCTTGTTAATAATGATTGTAACCGGTGTCAAAAATGAGGTTGAATCATTTTTCACCGTATTAAAAAAAAATGCTTTATGAAAAGGTGAGTTTTAATTTAGTGTTTTCATAATGTTTGTTTATATAAGTAAAATATGTATGAATGTAGTCGTAGAATATTTCTATGTACACCAAAAAAAATGAAGTAAAAGAAATTCTCCTTTAAAAAGATTTTATTTTTTGTTTTGACCCAGAAAAGGGAAAAAAAACTTATTAATAGTACACGTGTTTTAAGGCATGCAGTACCCCTTTTAAGTAAAATGAATGAAGTATTAAAAGTGATTAAAAACTATTCAATAAAATCTGTTACGCATTTCTTTTTAATTTTCCATAAAAAATCGAAGAAAAACAAATGAGGGGCTTAATTTATAATGCTTTAATTTAAGAAGGGTTACCAAAAAAATTGCCCTTTTCCGTTATTATGAGAAAAATATGTTATTTTTGGTAAAGATGAATTTGAACAATTTGGAAGTTAGTTTATTTTATTAATTTATTTATTTTAAATTTTTATATAAATTTACAAAAGATATAAACGAAAACCATCTTAAGCTTAAGTACCTCACAATAGAGCTGTTGCAGGACAAATTAAAAAACTTCAATTAGACTAGGAAAATTTCAACTAAACTAAGGAAATTTTTCCTTATGACGAAGGTTCATTTACTGACAAAACTGATTTTAACCAAAAAGGGAATCATTGGTAATCGAACGATCTCCGCGGTTATTTAAAATAAGACTATACAACATATGTCATCGTCACATATACATACTTATGCAGAAATATCATGAATCAAAGATTATCATGTTGTATATTAATGCTTTGCTATCGCATGATTAGCCGAAATCCAATAAAATTGTAGAACGTCAACTTCATTTTATAAACAAATCCTGTCTTAAAGGAATTTAATTTTTTTTAAAGAAAGAGTTGAATTCTACGATTGAAATGAAAAATTGATATACATACGCACATATCGGTATTATGTTAGGTATCAGGCATAATCGTGCGAGAAAACAAGCTATGACCATTAATATTTTTAAACTATACAGTGCTTTTTAGGTTTACATTTGACGGGACATCATATAAAACGTCATTAATTGAAAATCAATAAAATGGAGAATATTGTATCCAACATGTTTGATTTTAAGAATCTTAACTTTTTAATAATTTTAAATAAATCGTTAAATTTATTTTAATTATAGATGAATATGTGTTTTATTATAAATTTCACCACAATTATCATGTCCTATCTAGAACTTTTCATTGAGAAAGAGAAATATTTATTTTTTTCATAAAAACTTATTTTATTTATCTAGAAGATTAAAAAAAGGAAATTAAAAATATAAAGAAAACACAAGTTCTACAAAACTTACAAGCCCAAGGACTTTGCAAAAAGTTTTTATGTATTCGTTTAGACTAAAGATTTTTTTTTCCAACCATAATGAATTAAGGCTATTCCTTATGCACATATCTTGAACTCATTATAACCAGAAATGTAATAAAAGATGGAAATAAAATTCTTTGTTTTTTCATATAAAAAGAAATTCAATTAAATTTAATTAAGGTATAGATATTCAAACAGTTTATAGTACTTTATTTTTAAAACACATAAAAACCGTTCCAATTTTATTTTAACCAACCTGTTTATAGCCCACTCAACAACATTATATTTGATTGTAAGTAATCTCACAACATACTTAATGACATACATGCGTATAATTAAAAATTTCCGGCTCTTATTTAAAGAAAGAGAAATCAAATTTAAGAGATATTAAAAATAAGGTTGGTTTGACTGGAAGGTTTTTTAAAAAGCAAATCTCATTTAAGCAATTTAATTCATAAAAATATTAAAATAAATAATTAACATTTATAAAAAGTTTTCCGGCGGTGTGAGTAATGAATTGTGTAACGGTTAAACGGTGGAATTAATTTAGAAAATTCAATTATTGCAAATTATGTATAAGTTTTCTATTCCAATTTTGCTGAGTCAAACTGTAGGTAGAATGAAATTCCAATTCAGTGGAAAACAAATTTTTTCTTTTTCCACTGATATTACTGAATTACAAATTCGTATAAGAATAGGTAAATAGCATTTAATTTTCATATTTCTTTTCATTTTTCTCTTTTTTTACATATTTTTAAACATATAAATTCGTACACTCAAAATTTAGAAATAAATGAGCTCATTTCTTAAAAATTATTACTATTGCTTTTTTTTTTTTAAAACGCTGCCAACCGTGAAAATCAACTGTTCCGCTTTTACAATTATAAATTCAGTTATTTTATTTAATTCAATTGCTATAACAGTCTTCAATTTTTACACCCTACCTTAACGTATGGTCATCTTCGGTAAGAACATAAATGTGTGTCTACACCAGGTCAGCTTATAAAATTTTGTGTTGATTTAGACATGTGTAGCCTTCTCTTTGCCACTAACCGATTACGCTCTAACTCAAAAAGGAAGACGTAATAACACCATACTTTCAGACGTTTTTTTTTGCTTGATGATTCGAATACCTACCATCTTCCGAAAGAGATTATTTTAAATATGTATTTCGAAACGCAATGAAGATATTAAGATGAAATTTTGTAAATTAATGTTTCCAATTATATCTGGCATATCCTGAAAGTTTTAATATAATTGCAATACTGGTTCGAGTAGCTGTTGCACCACCCAAAAACCTAATTTTAAATAATTGAAAAAAAGTAGAGCTACTTGTATGACTTTAAGCAGTCATATGCCCACTTATGGCCCAGACATATTTCAGAAGTTTTAATTGAATAGCTTGACAGATTCGGGTAAAATTACAATGCAACCCTAAAAGCTAATTTTACAAAAACTGTTATTTAATAATAAAATTTTTACGGTGTAATATAAAATACAGTTGAGACCATTAAGGTCCATTGAAACGTTTTTACTTGTTAATTTATGTGAAGTCGCAAAATATTGATTTCAGTTTATGATTAGTTCATCATAAATGCAGAAAAAGTGAGAAATAAAAATTTCATACAATTTATAATACAACATAACTGTTCTTTCTACAGATTTTTTCAACATCACTAAACGCATGGTGTGGTGGCATGTAACTATGCTCATTAATAAAGCAAAATGACACGTTATACTTGAAAAACGTCATTCAAGTAAAATTTGCAGGCTGGTGCAGTTTTTTTTTGTTTTGTGTTTAAAATAATTATTTTTTAAAACAATAGTTGTTGCACTATACTGGTGGATATAGACATGCAGTGTTAATATAAGTTGCAACATATTGTTAAAATATTTCTATTCAGATTAGAGCTCAGAAATAGAGAAATAAAACAAAAGTCCCCTTAAATAAAAAAGTACTTATTAATTTTTTTTTATAAAAATTTTATTCAAAACTCAACAAAACTATCAAGCATTTGTTTGGTTTTTCATATTTATGAGGACAAAGTTAAACATTAAACTGAATTTATTCTTTTTTTCTTTCTAATTACAAACTCAAACTTCAATATATCCTTTTCAACAACAAATTTTTACCGACCGCATTACATACAATAAGGAAGGTTATGTCATGGCACTTAGTTTCGTATGTCTCCATGGTAGGGCAGCGGAAATAAGCTATTTTTATAGAAACGTCGGTTTGTCGGTGTATGCATGCACGCGTCTATTTCAAATTCGGATTAACCGATTTTGATGAAATTTTATATGTGAATTTATTTCGGCTAAGTTCACCTTATTGTAGGCCGATTTTTAATTTTTGCGCATATAAAGAAAAATAATCATTCAAATTTATTTGAAATTTAATATTTAAATTCGAGGAAGGATCAGGTCACGGGACTAATACTGATGAAATTGCTTGAAATTTAATATTTGAGTTTTGATTGTTAAAGAAACTATATTTACGAAAGGCCCAAAGCGAAACTTTACTAAGAACCAAATTCACATTTTTGGAGAATGTTAACTAAAAGCTTACTAATGTCTTTAAAATTGAAAGAAGTCTTTAAACCACATTTTCATAATCTTCTATGACACTTTTATTAAACCATGTGTTGATCACATCAGATATATTTTCAACTTTTAAGCATTTTGCATTTGCTTGATTAAGATATTTGTATTTGCTGTTATTCTGTTCGTCTATTCTTCATCTATTACATTTTAAGTTAATTTTGTAAGAACATACTTTCAGAAGAATCAAGACTTACTCATTTGTCATAATCGCAAAATATAAATTGTCATCAATGTAATTCAAAGGTTGGATTATTAATTTGGTTTTAGTCTCGATGAACTTGAAGAGCTTACTATTTCTACTTTTTTACAGGTTAATGCCATATGAATAAAAGCGGTAAGCAAAACAACTTTCAAAAATACATTTCAAGCTGTTCCTGAAATATGTTTAAAATTGTAATAAATTTTTTAGAATATTTTACAATATCTTGCAATTTTTCCAAATGAAAACTCGCAGTTTCAACAACGTATTCATATGCGCAATATGATGAGTAATTTATATGCATGCAAATTTACAAAATGTATGTACATTCGTAAACATTCAACTATATTATGTACACAATAAAACATTACGATTACAATTTCATTAAATTGTCTGGTGTCCTAAAATCTTTACCATTGTATTATGTTATGTATGTACATATGTATATAGCTAAGATAAATTATTACTAATAGAAAAATGTATGAACTGGACAAAAAAAAAAGAGTATTTAAAAATATGAGTAGTGGAGGTTATTTAGACACTTACCAACTACATTTAAATTCAAAAATATCGATGTGGGCGGATGGGTTGAAACTTGGCATTCATAAATGCCAGCATCACGTAGTTGAACAAATTTTATTTGCAATGTCCAATCCTAAAAAGAAAAAAATGAGAAAAATAACCATAAGCAAAAATAATAACATGCAAGTATCACAAAAAAACTGTATAATGCTAGAGGAATAATAAAATAAAACATTTTACAAGCAAATAAAATAATAAATCTGTGGTCACTTACAACATTCACTTAAAATTTTTTGAATAAATTTATTTTACATTTCGATTGGGTTTGATTTTTAATATTCCCAAAACGTTTTATTCAAACGACTTTTATCTTTTTTACCTTTATGATTCTACTTATACTTAAAGAACACTGAATGTTTTCGAGTCAGTGGAAAAATGTATCTGTTATTTGTTTATAACTTTGTCAGCATACTAACAAATATTTCAATTCGTTGCGAGTACTAACTAAATTTGATATGTTATAGGCAAAGATCAAGCAGCTATTATTAATGAATTTCATGTTTAAACCTAAATTAAAAATTTTTATTAAGCCTAATGTTAGACCTGATCAAATTGAACATTAATAAGACTTTATGGCGCGTAGCCATAGAAAAATTTGTATTAAAATAGAAAAAAACGGGCAAAGACATGAAGAAAAATAAAAACAACATAAAACTTGCTAAAACAAAAAAAAATTACTTTCTAACTTATTTGCTGTGGGAATTCTAAGAACAAAAACAAGAAAAATAGGAACCATAATTTCATAATGTCCCATTTTTCTTATTCAATAGGACGTCAGCAATCCCTTCAGCGTTTTATAAATATTTTTTTATACGGCTCATAGAAAAACGAAATGTTCATTAAATTCTGAAATTAAAATTAATTCATATTCCTATAATTTCATGTCGTAATAATAAAATTTTTATTTTTCAAAATATTATGAGTACATTTTTATGGTAATATTGTACCTACATTAAATATTTCTCGTTTTACTGAAAAAAGAATAAAGTAAGGGATAACTCCTCTGACTCTTAAAACTTAAAATTTAAAATCCAATTTTGAATAGTTTAAAAATAAGGCATTGATTAATTGAAAAAATATTACTGTCAATACTTTTAATTTTTGGCAAAAAATTTAGAAAAAATTTGTAGATAGCATTTCGAATTTTTTTATTATACCCATACGAAAGTATTTTCGAAGGGTGTACTAAATTTGCTTTACCGTTTGTAACGTTATGAAAAAATGGTCTGAGATTATGGCTCAAGTATATGTTTTTGATGAGAGTCAAATTCTGAGCCGATTTAGCTTTTTCTGTAAGTCCGTCCGTCCCAAAAACCAATTGAGCTAAGTTCACCAAATTTTCACAAATCTTCACAAACTATGAAAGCTATAGTAGCTTCGTGAAAACAAGTATATTCATGCCTCTGTTATGTGTATGACAAAAATCGTTGTAATTTCCTGACTCCTTGTGGTAACTGCAACTTCAACAGTAGTTTGGCCTTTAATATTTTAGAAAATATTATAAAGACAGTACTGAAATTTCACATAAATTAATATGGTAATACGACAGCTCTAAAGTCATAGTCTGTCCCATAGTCAACTGTAGCATATTAATTCGCATAAAGGATAACAAATTCGTACTGGCATCACAGAGTTTACATGGTCAACTTTATTTTTTCTCGTTTTTTAATACTTTTTCCAAATTTTACTATTAACTTTTTAAACTAATAAAATTGCCAGTGAGAGTGTATTTGCTATTTCTTACTATTCGTTTAGCGGAATTTGTTTTCAGGCACTTTAAATCTGTTATATTGTTACGAAACTAATAACAAAATTACTCTAAATACTTTTACGACAAAAATGTTGTAATATTTTAAAGTAACCTATTAAATCAATTAAAAAAATTTTTGGAGATCTCATGGGATCTTTTAGATTTAATGTATTAAACAAACGACAATCTTACTCTAAGGATATTGAACGACTTTCCTGTAATTTTTGCTGTTCATTCAGCATTCCCATATTTGATAAATTTCTCAAAATGTTCCAACATAAAAGTTTTTGTTATACGAGTATTTTCAATTTCACGTTAATGAAATTCTATTTTTTTTACTTTTTACAAGAAACTCGTTAGGTGAATCTTAAACAAATTTAAAAGTATAACCAAGGTGAGAACCTTGGAAATTAAAATAAATTGCCGTTATTTAAAAATTAATAAACAAAATAGAGGAAACGTATAATAAATTAAGAGTAAGGTATTTCCTCCTATAAGAAAAATATTGTGAGCAAAATGAACACAAAATCAATATAGCTTCAAGGGAAACAACTTGAGTATTTCTTAGCGTAACTACAAATTAAAAAAAAAACAATGCGAAAAAAAATTTAATATATAAAAGAAACATTCGAATCAATTTGCGGTCAGCCAACAAAATTTTAGAAATCTATTTAACTAGTTAGTTTGAAAAAATTTAAAGTGCCTTGTAATAAGACACGCCAGAATAATACAAAAAAAACTAATTTATTGCATAAGAGTAAATGACATTTTTGATGAAAAAATGAATTTAAAAATGCTTTCCAAAATCAATTTGTTTTTTATTTACATGCATGGGTACGCTATTTCATTTTTAAACCTTTTAATTTAAGAATCTACAAGGATACGACAAACCGTCACTATGTTTATGAAACACAACCTAAGGCAACCCAATTGATTAAAATTGCTTTTCATTTTAGTTTTGCATAATATTAATTTTTTTGTTAGTTTTTTGCTTAATTTTTGTTGTGTAAAACTAAAAGACTGGTCAAAGAATATTGAATATGCAATTTTTGAAATTCTGTTCTTTTTGGGATAAAAAATAATGCTTTATTTTAAAATTAAAATGCTAAAAGCATGAATAAAATTACAATTTCTTTCTAATTGAGAAATCGAATTCAAAAACTATTAAATACTAAAAAAAACACTAGTAATTAACCCTCTTCGGGACATATTTACCTAAGAAACATTTAAATAAAATGGGTGTTTTATTAATCTAGGTATATTTTGCGGTATGCCATGATAATCCGATCGAGACACGCTAGAGCGAAGTTCTTAATGGCAGATATAAACCATATTATACTACCGATTAAATTTTCCGATTAAAATAGCTTTGTTTGAAAATGTTCTTAGGCATCGAATTGATTGAAAAATCAGTTCGAGAAAGCATTAATCTTTACGATTAATACGAGTAATTACTGAGCTTTTTGTATTTATATAATCAACAAAAATATCTAAGTTCTTACTTCGGATATAGTAGTTTGTCAGAAATTTGTGTTTTCACGGCTTTGAGAAGTGAAGATGGAACAAATTTGTTTTAGAGAAAAATACAGTCTTAGCTGTTATCTATTTTTATTTGCAATGTGGTCGTTCTATTTTGAAGAATGAGCCGAGGTTTCGTAAACAAGTAAAGGACGGACAAGCTTAAACACGGGCATATCTCTAGAAGTAGAAAGAGTAAAACTGATAGAAATATTTTATTTTATCGAAAATTTTTGGAAATATGCCAAAGCTTCAAAAGTTTTTTCGGAATCCCAGGTAAATAAATTTTGATCATTTGCAATGACTCTTGCTGTTAAAACTAAAGAAATACTATGAAACGAATTTTATTGCAAACTATTTAGTGCGATTTAAGTCGAACTCACGTTGAACCAAGTCAAATGGATACATATATTTTCAATACATGTTCGAATGAAATAATTTTTAATCAAAATTAGTATTTAGCTTAAGTGGAAGAAACCGGCTGAGCCCGTAATCTTATTACAACAGCGTGTACAAAAAATGTTTAACCAAACGCACGCATATTCTTTTTTTTGAATACGCACTCATATTACATTACAAGCGTCAGAAAATATCAGCCATAAAAGGGTAAAATTTTAATTTTGACATAAAAAAATTTTTTTGCACTGTCAAAGAATTGATATATGTACCTATATATGTATGTATGTAAGTTTACTTTTGTCATTTCATTTTGATGTTAGGCACAAAGAATTAAAATATTAAAGTTCTTTTTTTTCTTAAAAGTATGTACATAAATAATTTGCTAGAAAAAAAAATGAATAAACATTTTTCTTTTTATAATTTTCATATTTTAATAAAAATATTCATGCTTTCATTTTAAACTCAATCTCCTTTTAACTATAAATTGTCATATATTGCAACAACCGTAGGAAGATCAAATACATTATTTACAATGGGCTTTATGTGTCATTTTTAAGTGCTTTAGTACAATGTAGGTACATTATGTCTTTTGCTTTCATATAAAATTCTTAAGTGACCTATTAAGCAATGTTATTCTTTCTAGATTATTTGGCATGTCTGGTTCTGGTTTCCTATTCATTTTTGCAAAGTTTTCCTTATGGAAAAATAAACGTGTTTTATGAAATGAGAATTTTTTTGCAAAAAAAAAAAAAATTCAATTTAATTTTATGTACATAAATAAAAATCTAATTTTTCTTTATAATTACTAATTTCCTACTAGGATTTAGAATTCTACTTTTATGACTCTTCCTTCACAATAGTTTATTATTATAAGATTATTCAAGTGTTCATTCACCAGACGACTTATAAAATAAATAAGACTAAGTAATAAATTATGTATGAAATGTTTATTTTATGATTAAGTATGCAACTACGTTGTATGCATAATAATCATGAAGGATATTAAAGAATAATATACAAAATAAAGTAGGAATTATAAATAAAATATATTCTAAAATTTAAATTGTACAAGAAATTGAAGTGAATTTAAATAAACTTTTACCTCTGAATGCTTTAAATGTGTGGCACTAAATCTTTCATCGCTATTGTATGTTGTTAGACCAACTGTCAGTAAATGATAATCTTTTCTTCTAATCCATGACACCTGAAAAAAAAACAAAAAGAAAAAATATAAAAATATTAAATAAAACAAATCTATAATACAGTAAGGAAGGGAGTATTGAAGAATCAAAGTAAATATTGTTACATTTCTAAAATAATTCTCAGAAAATCTTTACAGTCATGATCTCTTCTAACAAAAGATAATGTTATGACTTTAAGATTTGATACATGAATCTTAAAAGAACACATTATTAATGCACATTTACAAAAATGTGTAAGTATTTATACGTATATAATATATGTATGTGTATGCGTATGTAAATTGTAGTTTAATGAGGAAGATGAAATATTCATTCTGTAAATTGAAAACTTCTTAGAATGCAAATGTTATCCTCAAAGTTAATTACACTTCATGAGGATTGTATAAATTTGGAATAATTAACAAAAATTCAAAAATATTCTTTTTTCAGAAAATTGAAGTAGTTTAGAAGAATTCAATTAACCCGATAGACATAGGGTTCTGGAAAAGTTTTATGTTTAATATAAGTTAATATCAGAATCTAAATCAGTGTCTTTCGAAGATTTTTTGGAATTAATTGAAGAATTTTTAGGTTTGATATTCATGTATGCTAGAATATGGATAATATTTTTATTACAATTGCACAATACAGCAAATCAAAATAAAACTGAGTAAGAAAACAATTACTGAACGACCGATAAACGAACTGACCGACGGACCATCATCAAAATATATGACATTTGACATTTTTGATTGCTTTAACAAATAATTATAATGAAAAGGTAAGTATGTCTTATTAATCACTAAGAGTATAAGAAAAAACTTTTTTTTTGTTTCTTGTAAATTTTTCAACTAAAGCATTTCATTCAACAATAGAAGTATATTGGTGACCCTAAATTTCTCATAACAAGTTTTGAGTGAAATTTTATCTTTTCGTGATATAATGAAATGCGAATAAACTATGCAGTATGTCGGCCTAACTATGTTTCGATTTGAAATTTTTTCGGAACCACATTTGTAAAAATCTCACATTATGTACTTATGTCTAAGTTTTTTGGAGATTAAATAATTAATAAACTTTTCGAACGATTCACGAAATTCCTTAATAATGATATTTGGGGTATTTTTATCAAAGACACTGATTGACTTTTCAAAGAAACCAGATTTCAGGAATTGAACCTCTAATAAAATTAAACAAAATGTTACTATAGTTTTTGCAGGATTTGCAATAATTTTTTTGAAGGACATTTCTCGTGCTACTCCTTTGCCCACATAAAAAGAATAAATTTTTTAGATTTAGAAAAATAAAGATAAAATAGACTAATTGTGTTTGGTTGCGTGTTGCTAACATAAATTTTTGTTCAATATAATAGTACAGTTTTTTTAACAAACTCATAACTCGAGCAGAAAGAAGGAATGAGGAAATTTAGTTCTAAGTTTTATTAAAATTTGCTATTGTTGTATTAATTGAAAATACTTATTTCATTTTAAATTCATAATTATGATTATCAATTCTATCCATATGGCATGTGATTGTATTCCATTTTTTTTATACAAAACCCCAAAAGATGTCAACATTAATTTCACCCAAATCAAGTCACGCTTTATTGTAGCATAAACATTTATTTTAAAAAAACTAAAGGCATAACACTTTCTTTAAAACACTTCGATCCAATTATAAACCGGGTGAAACTGAAAACACTGCATCTCTTGCACACAAATTTATGAAAATATTTAATATTTGAGCGTGAACGCTTTTGTAAAAGGACCACCCCATTGTATGAAATAGACTATAAAAGACTTCAAAAATATTAATTGTATATCATTTTTAGTATAAATATTTCTGGAATGGTCAAGTTTTTTCATTCATTCTATTAAGGATCATGTGTTTGATTTTTCGGTTCGATTAACTTTTACACCATGACACTTTTTATACAATTATAACCATAATTTATGTTTTCTAAAGCCATTTAAACAAAATTATTTTATTTTTACCTTTTGAAAATGAAAATATTTAGGTACACATTTAAGTTTGAAAATGAAAAAACTTTATTAAAAAATTCTATAAATATGTGTATTAATCATAAGGACCTAAAAGTGGAAAACTTTTTAACATAGGCGCTATATGAAAGAACAGAATAAGGTAAGGCACAAAATATTGTGTTTGTTGAATAAAAACTCTAGAAATTTTAATAAAATTCAATTCGTACCATAAAATTAAACACATCTATTGTCAATTTTTCCTAAAGCAACTGAAATTAGATTTTTTTCCAAGTGTAAGTGAATAACTGATACTAAGTTCTGATACTAAATAGTAAAATAGTGTTACTTAATGTTGCGGTTCTTGTAAAAAATTTCATTATTGAAATTTTACAGAAATTTTCATTATTAACTGGTACGCTTAAAACTTTAAAATACTATGGCACAACTGTCAATGTCACCACAAACATCTAAATTAACGAGAGGCAAAAATGAATATTCTTACATATGACATAATCCATTCAATTGTCTTTGAGTAGTGCTACTAATGCTATCCTACTTGTAGCTGACGGCAATTTAATTTTGGTGTATAAAGCTTTATATCGAATACCTCAATGTGACTTTAGTTTAAGGTTTCACATTTAAACAACATTCGAATAAAACAGTATAATTAAAATTAACCATTTCACCAGCCCATTTTAAAATTAATATTTATTAAGAAATTAATGTATGAATGTATATAACTGTCAATAATTTTATTATATACCAAGTGGATCACATAAAAGCATGTATATATGTACGAACAAAATGAGATCGAGAAATAATACCTTAAAGGCAGGAGAGATTTGAAAATTCCTGAGAATATATGTATATGCGTATTTATTAAAATAATTTTCTTTTAAAATCGCAACCCATAATTAGGTACCCTTTCTTTAAATTGCAAAAGGTGTCATATAACAATAGTACTCCCTAAAATTATGTTATTCTTAACAAAATTGACAGACCTCTTGAAAAATTTTCAATATTTTATATGGCAATACAATAAAATCCCGTGACTTCAATAATGCTTTATAAAAAGTTTATGTACGATATTAATTCGATTGTAGTACCGCCTCAGAGCTTTCAATACCTTAACATTGTAAAAACAACTCCTAAAGTTTTTGATACATTTTGGAATAATAAACTAATACCTACTTTGACGCTTGTTCGAAAAATTCAATTAAAAGTTCTGTGCAAATGTTCATTTTCAACAAACCTTACCATATCATTAACAACATAGCATTTTTACGCTGCAGTTTAGGAAAACAACTTAATAACTAGCACTTTATTGCTGAAAATATATGCTAGTTTATTTATTTGGTTATTTCTGGCAACATTTTTATGACACGTACAAGAAAAGCGTGCCCGATTTTTTCGATACCCAATTTACTTTTATTTTGCGCATCCACTAAGTACTCGTATAGAACGCATTTAGGAAAAGTGTACAATGTCAAGAGCTTTTACTAAACTTTTTGGAATGTGTTACTTTGTAAAGTTTACGCCGTAAACGCATTATTGAAGACACGGATACTCATAATTTATGATATAAAATAAATGGAAAACAAAATGGAAACAAATATTTATAAAAAGCTTTAAATTGTTTCCAAAACTTTGGCGGTAACTCAATGGAACTTTGCTATACAATATTTTGCAAAGTCGATAGATGTTATAAAGCTTTGGTGCGTTTTTATTCAACTGCGCATATTAGATTAAGAAGAAAAATATCCAGAATAAGCCGTGAAAACATTGTCAAGGATTTTAAAGCTCAACGAATGGATTTGCTGGGAAAATTTTGAAATTGTAAAATTTTTTTTCATTAAAATAATTTTCTATCTGAATATTATGTTTCGTGTACTTGCAGCGTTTCTAGTTTCTTTGCTAAAGTTGAAATAATTTGTACAATAGTTGACTGCTAAAAGGACCGTATAGAAATTAAATTAAATGGTCATTTCAATTATTATTTTATGTTTATTTTCACTTTTCGCAAAAAATACTTTTGTTCATAATAGAAATATTATATAGGTTGGCAAAAAAATATAAATAAAACATTGTATACATTTCTATCTATGCATATACCCATATGTCTATACATTTAAAATCTCTCTATCCCCGTTACTACTATTATTGTTCGTATTGTTCAAGAAAAATTCTTTGCTATATAAGAAATTATTTTGTCCTTTTTATTTATTCCTCATCTACTTGTCCTCTTTCTTATTACCCCATCTTTATATACATTTCATTTAAGTTATATTTTGAATAGAGACAAAGTTGTTCTTAGAATGAATAGCTGTATTTTAACGTTGTATATGTATATATGTATATACATACGTATACAAACATACTTTTGCAATAAATCCAATGCAAACATACTAATATGCAGAATCTGTTTTATCTCATTCTTTATAGAAGAAATGCACAAAAAGAATAAAACTAATTAAAAACAAGTAAGGATCTAAAGTGGTTTGCAGAACCTACATTTTCTTTATGTTCATAAAAACAAAATGAACAAAAATTTAAGAATTAAATATAATGCTATTATAATATAATAATGTATTTAAAATATATATAAAACGTATATGTATATAGATACTAATATATAAAACATACAATATTTTGCAAACAACGTTGCAAATAGATTGTAAATGAAGCTTTTAAACGCATGAAAATTTGCATTCATAGCGGGTTAGCTGGATAAATAGATAAAGTAGATATAAACAAGTAAAAACGTTTCAGTCGGTATAAACCGATTGAATTATACCCTGCACCTTTCGTTATTGTGTAGCAATTACTCGAACCTGTGAAATCATTCTATAGAAACTTCACGGACATGTCTGACCTATAATTGGACATCCGACTGCCAAGTTTCATGAATCTGACCTTATAATTTTTCAAAATATTTAAAATTAGCTTTTTGAGCTGTATGGTAAGTACCTAAAACTGTCAAGCAATTCCATCAAAACTTCACAAATATATCTGATCTATAATCGGACACACAACTGCCAAGT